CAGCTGCCGCTCCCGCACGTCGGCGGCCCCGACCCGGTCCCCGCGGCCCCGGGACCCGCACCCCGGGGGCCGGCCGGGGGCCGGGCGGGAGCCGCGCGGTGCGGAGAGGCGGCGGCGCTGGGAGACGGGCGAGCCGAGCTGCGCCTCCCCCGCGCCTCCCTCCCCCTCCTCCTCCTCGCCAGCCCCGTGGAAAACAAACAAGGAAGAGGGATAAAGTCTTTGTTGGGGCCTTACCGGGGGCGCGCGGCCGCCGTCGGCGCGCTGGGGTTAATCCGCCATGAGCGCTGGCAGCCGGGGAGGGCCGCCGAGCCAGCGGCCACGCACAAAAGAAAAGTTGTTGGGCTTCTCTTCGGCGGGGCTGGCAGGCGGCGGTTCCCCTTCCTGGCCCGGGGCCACCCCACGTCACCGCGCCGGGGCCGCGCTCGTTAAAGGCGCACGGCACACAAAGCTCCGGCGCCGCGGGAGCGGACACGGCCAGCGGGAACCGTCCGGCCCCGGCCGCGGGGAAGGGGAACCGACCGCCCCCGGCCATGGGTGTACTCACTGCCGGCACGCTGCCCCGGCCCTGGGTGACAGAGGGGCCGGAGGGGCCGGCGCAGACCCGCTCCGGGCCCCAGAGCAGCTCGCAGAAAGCCGGGGCCTCAGCAGGGAATGGCCCCTGGCGCTACGCCTCCCGCTAACCTGGCTGGAGTCACGTCCCAGCTGGCCCCCGAAAAACTGCCCCCGATACGCACACACCCCGCGACCACGGATTCAGCGGGAACCGGACCCGCCGGGTCCCCAGCTGGAGCTGGCGGGGGCCGACGCTCACCCCTCGCTGCCGATGCGGAGATCCTCGGGAAGCATCCCCACAGCGCCCGGGCTACCTGAGGAAGCTCGGGCTGCAGGATGGGGCTGCCCCGAGCACGGCACAGGAAGGGCACAAGGAGAAGGTTCTTTCAAACCGGCGCTGGGGGCAGCAGAGGAACCCGCGGGGGACGCGGCCGCCGAATGCCAAGAGCTCTTTGCCAAGAGCCGGGAAACGAAAACACACAAGCCTGAGCCCCCGCGCTCCGTCCGGGTCCCCCCTTCGTAGAGAGGGGGACCCCGCTGAGCTCGGCCGGAGGCGGAGGCTGCGCCACAGGCGGGTCCCGAGCCTTGCACAGCCTCCCCTGCGGCCCCGAGCCCCGGAACCACCGGCGACCGCCCCCTCCCCGCCGTGACCTCAGCACCCCCCGTACCGTGGCCGTGGCCGCCGCCAGGGCCGGGGCCGCCGGGGCCGGGCTGGGGGTCGGGGCCGGGCTGGGGTGGGTATCGGGACCGGGCCGGGCTGGGGTGGGTATCGGGACCGGGCTGGGGTGTGTATCAGGCCCGGGCTGGGGTGGCGGCCGCCGCCCCGTTCGAACGGCAGCGCTCCCCCCGCCGCTCCCCATTGGCCGCCGCCGGCCGGGGCGCGTCACGTGCGCGGGCGGCCCGCGAACCGAGGGGTCCGGCGGGGGACGGGGACACGCGTGGGGCTGCGGGAGAGGGCTCCGGGGACCACGGGGCACGCGTGGGGCCGTGGGGAAGAGGCTCCCGTGCGGGTACGGTGACACACTTAGGGCCGTGGGGGCGTGGGTCTCAGGCCCCCTCTCCAAAGGGGGGGGGGACACACGAGGGGCCCTGGGGTGCCCATGGAGGGGAGCGTGTGGGGCCACAGGCAGAGCAAGGAGTACATGGAAGCCCACGGTGCGTCAGGGGACACGTGGGGGACTCTGGGGATGTGTCGCATGCAGGCACCCCACTCTGCTCTGCGGCACCAGCTGGGCAGGGGTCCTCACCAGCCCCCACCGTGCCCTAACCCACTAGTGGGACCTTACCTTGCTTGGGGGGGCGGTCCTGGGCTTGTCCCTGTGCTCACAGCTTTATGTCATCTTGCACAGGCCCAGAAAAGTTGACTTTAGTCACAGTGTGGATTGTGGTGGTGCCTCCCCACCACGACCCAAGCCACACTGTAATCTGGGAAATGCTAGTTAAGCCTCAGCCTTAATGAACAGCACCTGGGCTAAGCCTCTCTTCAGTTTAACAGAAACAGCCTGTTCCTAGGATCTAACAGGTGTCTAACAAGCATCTGTTTGTTAACAGCCTCAGAAACTTACTTTTCTTCCTGGAGTAACACCCCGAGTGGAGCAGTATTTTTGTTACTGAACCTTCAAAGAAAGTCACCAACTCAACTTGTGGCCAGGATAGAAAATTACGACGACTAAAGCCCACTCTCTAACAACCCTATAAAGAGGGGTCCAAAGTGAGACCCACTGAGCTCTCGATCCCCAGAAGGGGCTAATACAAATGTCTCAAACACTGATAACCAGATGGCTGTGGAGCCAACAAGGGACTGTTGGTAATAACAAGATAAGAACTGTTGGTAATAACCAAGGATATTAATATGCCATAAGATGTGGCTGGAGAAGGGGCCAGGTGGAGACAGGGCAGCACTTTTCTGGGACAAACATCCTTGTTGTAGCTCCTGGAGATAAGTACAACACACTACAGCACAAGCACAGGAGTGAGGCCAAGAAGTGGGAATGGACTATACAAAAGGGATTAGGACCACCAAAGACCCCCAAAGCCCTCCAACCCACTTCCAGAAAGGCCTAAAAGAACAGACTGTGCATGATAACGAATTTGCATAGAAAGCCAGAAAACCATCTTTAGGGTGGGGAAACCTGTCCACAAAAAGGTACCCCCCAATTTCCATGCCAAATGTGTCATTTACTAACAAAACCTTCTGATTCTTTGCAGACCCTCTGACTTTTGTTGTTCCTTTTGAGCATGAGCCTTTAAAAACCTTTGGTGCTTCCTTCCCCTTAAGGGTGGGTCATCACACATCCTCTACCCAGGGGCATCCTCTTGGCCCCAGGGGTCGTGATGGTGACAAGGGATAGTGGGATGTGTGTGTCCTTTCCCCACCACAGCACAGCTCCCCCTGGGCTCTCCCACCACATCCATGCTGCGGCCGGCAGAGAACGGCAGAGACAGGCACTGGATGAACATGGTTTTATCTACTGTGGCCAAAAACAATAATTAAAAAAAAAAAAAGAAAAAAAAAAGAAAAAACAACAAAACAAACAACCAAACAACAAAACAACCCAAAATAAAGGTCTAAACATGTAAAAATGAGCAGGGAGGGTGTCAGAGCCACCAGGCCCCACGCAGAGCATCACATCCACCTGGCTCCAGCCCACCTGTCCTGGTGATGTGGCACGCGGTGCTGACCTACACCGGGGCCTCCTTGCGCCAGTTGTTCCCTTTGTGCTCATCCCTGTGCAAGGCAGCGTCCAGGTGACACAGCCCCCTCCCCACACAAACCCACCCACGAGGAGGAGAAAGCCTCGAGCAATGCAGGTGGGCTCGACGTGCCGGTGATGGGCGTCTTGGCATTTGGTAGGAAACAGGATATCTGTCCAAGTTCCGTGGCAGCACCATGGGGAGGGAAGGGAAACAAAGAGAAAAAAAATGGGAAAGAAACCCCCAAACAACCCAAAGCGGTGAAGCGGCAGCGCTGGAGGCAGGCTCAGGGGATGCCAAACTGTACAACCAGTTCTTCTTTGGCGTCGACGCGGATCTGTGAGAGCGCGCTGAAGGCGTAGGCGGCTATCCGGGACACCTGCGGGCACGAGGACACGGCTGTGGCACCGCTGCCTCCTGCAACTCCTGCTTATCCGGCAGAAACCGTCGCGGGAGGTTAGCCCCCAGCCCTAACGAGTCCTAAACCCGTCCTGGACTTTGCCCCCCAGATCTATCGAGGCCTCAAACCTGACCTGCACTAACAAGCTAACAAGTCGTAACAAGTCAGCTAACGAGGCAGCACTAACAAGTCGTGCCACGGCTCTGGGCAAGTGGGGAGGGCAATGCTGCTCCTCCAGGACGGGGAACACTGCAGGCTCCCAGGGCTCACCCCGGCCCGGCTCACCTGCTGCAGGTCTGCAAAGGGGACGGGGTCGCTGGCGAGCACTTGGTGCGGTTGGTTAGTCAGAGACGGCAGCAGCGGGAGCTTCTTCCAGTGCGTCAGGTTGTTGCTGAGCATGGCCAGGCGTGTGCTGTGAGGGGGGAGCAGCATCAGCACCGTGCCAAGACACAGGGAGACCCAGGAGATGGGTGTGGCACCCCTGGGCACCCAGCACCCCTGAGGGAGAGGGAGGGAGGGAGAGCAGTGCTGCCGCACTCCCAGCATCCAGCCCTCTTTGCCCCCCACAGCAAGAGGATGAGAGAGCTTCCAGCTCTCCAACACAGCAGGAGCTGGAAGCTACTGAAAGTACACCTTTCAAGCAGCAGCAGTCACATCCAGCCCACTGCCGTCTGCCCCAAGGGCCGGGTGAACACAGGAGCCCTTTGTTCCAGGCTCCGCTGCCAGCACTGCCATGGGCCTCTCCCGAGTGCTGGGAGGGCAGAGGAGAGGCGTGGGGCTGCACGCTGCTCTCCACGGCAGGGCAGCCCCACTGTCTGCTGACTTCACTCCCCTCAGGCCAAACCCCTGGGGCCCTGCCCAGGGACGTGGCTGTGAGGGACTGCGGGCACCCCGAGGGAGAGGGGCAGATCCCACCTGTACTGCCTAGCTCTGTCCATGTACTCATGCTGCTCCATGCCCTGGGAATCCGCTGCCGACACGTCGATGATGTTGCTGCAGAGACACAAGAGCGGGTCCCGCTGCAGGCTCACTGCTCCCCCTGAGTTCCCTCCCCATCTCAGAGCATCCTCTGACGAGGGCAGCCAAAATCCGGCACCCTCCAGCACCCCAAAACAAACATCTCAAGGCCAAACTCACCCCATGAATGATGCCAGCTGGACATGAGTGTGCCAGGCATGGGAGCATGAGCATGCCGAAGCCCTCCCACCCAGGTTGCCCCTCTGCATTTGGGGGGAAGCCTCCCCAGAAGGGGACACAGTGCTGGTGCCCCCCCCCAGCCATCCACTCCGCATCCCCATGGAGTCACTTGCTCATCCCAGTTTGGAGCAGGGGGCTACCCAGGCCCTGCCCCTCCTCCCAGCCCAGCAGCCAAGGGGCACCTCACATATGGATTCTCGTCCCTGTGCCCCCATGGGGCTCAAAGCCAAGGCAGGGGGTTGTCTACAGGCAGAGGGACGTGGGGGGCTCTGCCACAGCTCCCTCCTTCCCCTCAGCACCTCTGGCTGGTCAGTGGGACCCGCAGCCAGGCAGCTGCCCAGCTGTGTGCCCATCGCAGGGTCAGTGCTGCCCGCCCCACGGTGCTGGCACTGAGGCGGTCGTGGCCTGGGGCTTACATGGCCGTTTTGGCGAGGATGGAGGACAGCATGGCCTGCTCGTCGGTGCGTGCCGAGGGCAGGTTGTGGTAGCTCTGCTCCGCTCCATTCAGCACCTTGCTGGGAGGGCTGGCTGCCGGCTCCAGCAGCCGCTTCGTCTCTTCCTCCTGAGGGAAAGGCAAGAGGAGAATCAGCCCCGGCTCCCCCACACCAGCACCGTTCACCCCAAGGGATGAGGTGCATCTCACCCTCCACCTGCCAGGAGGGCTTCCTGTGCACCCCAGTGTAACCCAGCACAGCCTCGGCTCTGCTGAGGCAGTGGCGAGGCTCCTCTTCCCCAGTTCCTTTGCTTTTTTCCAGATAAAGCCCCCATGGCCACGAAGGGACCAAGTGTGGCTGAAATCAGGCAGCGTGTGGCAGCACATCTGGAGGGGCCAATCCTGCAGGCAGGAGCCCACTGCCAGCACTGCCCTGCCTGAAACCTGGCAGCTATCGAGGACCTACAGTGGCCTCACCCCCGACCACAGAAATCCCATCAGCCTTTGGTCTCCACACTGGCATGGCTGGGGGCTCATCGAGGCCAGGTGAACCCCACCTACCACAGCCCAGGGACAGCAGGGGGTGGGGAGTTCCCAGAGTAACAGGGCACATCCCAGGGACAGCAGGGGGTGGGGGGTTCCCAGAGTAACAGGGCACATCCCACCACTCAGTCCAGGGGTGCAGAGCTGTGGCTCAGGCCTTAATCCCCTGGCTTGGCTGAGCAGCGCCGCAGGGGCCGGGAGGAGAGCCCAGCAGAGAGACCATGGACACAAACACCCAGGAGAGCAGGATCACAGAAACATCAAAATCAGAAAAGCCCTCTGAGGCCATTGAGTCCAACAGCTCCCCCAGCACTGCCAAGGCCACCACTAACCCATGTCCCAAGTGCCACATCCACATGTCTGTCAAATCCCTCCAGGGGTGGGGACTCCACCCCTGCCCTGGGCAGCTGTGCCAGGGCTGGACCCCTCTTTCAGGGATATTTTCCCTCATATCGAACCTAAACCTCCCCTGGCATAACTTGAGGCCATTTCCTCTTTTCCTGTCCCTAGTTCCCTTAGAGCAGAGCCCGATCCCGACCTAGCTCCACCCTCCTGTCAGGAAGTTTCAGAGAGCAAGAAGGTCCCTCCTGAGCCTCCTTTTCTCCAGGCTGAGCCTCCTCAGCTGCTCCTCATCAGACCTGTGCTTCAGACCCCTCCCCAGCTCTGTTGTCCTCCTCTGGACATGTTCTGGCCCCTCACTGTCTGTCTTGTCCTGAGAGGATGCTCAGCCTGTGACCCAGGGTGAGCTGGGAATGCAACCACTCCTCCACTCACTGACATCTCCAGCTCCTGCCTGGACGGCAGCTCCCTCTCCCCTTCCTCCAGCTGGGCCCTGCCGCTGCCATACTGTGGCCCAGGCCCCTCTCCTTCCCTCCCCGCGGGAGCACCACGGCCCAGCCGCCGGCCGGGCTGCCCTGGGGACGGGGCCGAGCTCCCTGGCAAGGCACGGGCAGAGCCCCAGTCCCGCCCGAGGATTAAGTTTCGCGGGACAGGTGACAGCCCCAATTTTGCACTGGCCCAGGTAGGAAAACCTGGCGCTGCTCCCGCCGGCGCCGCTCGAGGCCCCGGACTCGCGCCGGCAGCGGGACGGGGGAACGGGACGGGGGAAAGGGACGGGGGATGCTCCGGCACGACCCCGGAGCCGCCTCCTCCTGCGGCCCCGCGGCAGGGGGGCACCCCGGGCGGCGCGACACACGCGAGGCACGAGTGACACGGAGGCGGCCAAAGCGGGAGGGCGCTCGGAGGCTGCTCCGGGGGCGGGGAAGGGCCGCGCCCCGCCGAGGGCACACGCCGCCGGTCCCCCCCGTTCAGGCAGCCCCGGGGGTGCCGGGCCGAGGCTCCCCGGCGGCGCCGCCCCCCCCCCGGGCCCCTGTCCCCACCTGGTCGGAGGCCTCGGCCTCGCTGCTGTAGCAGCAGCCCATGGCGAGCGCCGCAGCCCCGGCCCGGCCCCGCCGCCCACGTGACCGCCGAGTCACCCGCCCACGTGACCGGGGGGAGGGGGACGGGGGGGGACATAGACCGCGCGCGCCGCCGGGAACGCGCGCGCTCTCGCGTCACGTGGAGGGGGCGGTGCTCGCGCGTGCGCTGCGTCACGCGGCCCTGCGCGCGCGGTCACGTGCGGGCGTCCAGTGCCGCCCCCCCCCCCCCCCGTCGCTTCCGGTGCTCCCGGTGCTCCGAGCGCTCCCCGCGTTCCCGGTGTTCTCGGTGCCCCCGTGTTGCCGCTGTTGTTAGTGCTCCCAGTGCCCCCATCGTCTTGGTGCCCCCACGTTCCCCGCGCACCCGCTGATCCTAGTGTTCCCAGTGTCCTCAGTGCTTCCACCGTTCCCTATGCCCTTACGTTCCCGGTGTTCCCATGGTCTCAGTGTTCCCAGTGTTCCCAGTGCCCCCGTTGCCGCTGTTCCTAGTGTACCCATGCTCCCAGTGTTCCCATGCTCCTAGTACACCCGTGTTCCCCTTGCCACAGTGCTTCCACGGATTCTGCTGCTCCCGGTGCTCCCAGCCCCAGTCTTGGAACCTCAGCTCCAGTATCAGGATCCCAACCCCAGTGTTGGGGCCCCCCAGCTCCAGTATCAGGCCCCAGCCCCAGTGACAGGACTCCAGCTCCCGTATCAGGACTACAGCTGCCAGTATCAGCATGCCAGTACTGGGGCCCCAGCCCACAGTTTGGGTACCCCAACCCCAGTATTGGCACCCCAGACAAGAGTGTCAGGCCCCCAGCTGACACTGTACCAGCATCCCAGGCCCAGGCTTGCTCCTGCAGCCCCACAGACCCAGCCCGGCCCTGGCTGGCCCTGGCCCCAATGAGCTGGTAACTCGAGCCAGTGGTGGCTGCAGCTAAGGTGACACCATCAATAATTGAGTGGCAGCAGGGCCCCACGCAGGAGTGCCTGCCTCTGCCTATCTGGAGTGTGGGGACAGGTAGGTGCCACCCCCATGGCCCTGTCCTCTTGCTGTGTCTGGGGACCCCCAACAGCTCAGGGTGTGGGGAGCAGGCTGTGGGAGGCAGGATATGGGGGGTGAGGGCAGCAAAGCTGGGCCAAGGAGGGGTACGAGGGGCTGTGCTGGACAGTGCCCCTTAGAGCAGCCCAACCCTGCCCACAACACCAGTCCTGCAGACTCCAATATGGGGACCCCAGCACCCCTCAGACCTGGCACAGGGACCCCCAGAACAGCCCAGGGTGCCTCAGCCCCGCAGGCCCAGCAGCACCAGAGCCCAGGGAGAGACATTTGCAGGGTGTGCAGAGTGCAGCCAACTCGTGGCATGAGTGGGAGCTGTGGGGCTGGCACCCTGGGAGGACCCCCACTCCCACATCCCCCGGGTGGGGGCTCTTTCCCCAGCCTCGCTCCCCTGTGATGGTGTCTCCCGCGATCGCACTGGCCTTCCTGCCCTTCCTCGTCACCCTGCTGATCCGGTACCGGCACTACCTGGTGCTGCTGTACCGGGCCGTGCTGGTGGCCTGGCTGCGGGACCGGCTCACCGGCACCACGCGGGAACAGCGCGCCTTCCAGTACCTGCTGGCCCACGCCATCCCCGGGGACCCCCACCACATCCTGCAGACCTTCGACCAGTGGTGCTACCACTGCGAGCACCTCAGCTGCGTGGGGCCCACCAAAGGTGAGTGCCACCCTCGCCCACACAGGCCGCACCGGGCACGGCCACAGCACCACTGGCACAGCCACGGCACCATTGCTATGGCCGTGACGGTGCTGGTGCGGTCACGGCCCCGCTGGCATGGCTGTGGTTGTTGGTATGGGTGCTGAGAGACATGTGCCATGTCAGGGCGGATCGTGGAGCGGCTGCTGCTGGAGCGGGCACCACTGCGGGTGCTGGAGCTGGGCACCTACTGCGGCTACGGCACCGTGCTGCTGGCGCAGGGGCTGCCCCCGGGCGCCCGTCTCTACACCGTGGAGGGGAACCCCCAGCACGCCGCCGTGGCCGAGAAGGTCATCCGCCTGGCCGGCTTCGACGAGCACACGGTGAGCGCCCGGGCACTGGGGCAAAGGCTCTGCGCCTGATACCCGGGGGGAGACGGGCAGGGACCGTGGCACCTGCTGGGAGGTATCTGTGGGAAGAGAAAGATTCTTTCCCACATGGACCCCTCACCACTTTGTGAAGCAGGGTGGCGGGTGGGCACCCGGACACCACCCCAAGGGCTGAGAGTGCTGTGGTGCAGGTGGAGCTGATCGTGGGCCCCTCGGAGGAGGTGATCCCCCAGCTGCGGGAGAAGCACGGCCTGATGAAGGCCGATTTCGTCTTCATGGATCACTGGAAGCGCTGCTACCTGCGGGACCTGCGGCTGCTGGAGAACCACCAGCTGCTGGCTGAGGGGGCCACCATCCTGGCCGACAACGTCCTCTTCCCTGGGGCGCCCCACTTCCTGCAGTATGCCAAGACCTGCGGCAGGTACCGCTGCAAGGTGCACCGGGCCAGCCTGGAGTACTTCCGCGCCATCCCCGACGGCGTGGCCGAGCTCCGCTACACCGGCCCCCGCTGACCGGGCCACGAGCTCCCGCCCCGCGCTGCCACGGGCACCGGCTGCAACGCTGGCTGCAACACGGGCTCTGCAGGAAATGTGCTGGCTGCTGTGGTCTGTGGGGGGTGCTGGGGGAAACTCGCTCCCCGAGTGGCTCCTGCCCGCGCTGCTTCCCCGTGCCCCTGCAGGGAGCTCTGCCGGAGGGCCCGAGGAAGCATGGTGGGGAGCAGCCCTGCACTTGCCTGCATGGCACCCCCATGGCTGCCCCTGCCTGCCCTGGTGGCCTCAGACACCAGATTTGGGGTTGTTTTCTTGTAAACCGAGTTTATTAGAAAAGATGTGTCAGCCCCAATGTGCCGGGTGACAGCTGCCCCGCCGGCTCCCCCAGGGGGGCTCCGCTCCAAGGCCTCCACACAGCACCCACGGCAGGAGGAGCTTTACTGACCTGCCCCCCAGAGCCGCGGGGGGCAAGGGCTCTCCCCAGCTCTGGTTAGGTGTGGTCGTGGCAGAATCAGATCATCCACTGGTCCTGATCCTGCTCTGCCCCCTCCATGTCCACCTGGGAAAGGGAGAGGTCTGAGATCCCCCACCAGAGGAGGGGCCCAGGAGAGGGGAGTGGAAGAGAGGAGAAACTCCTCTGAGGTTCAGCTCAGGCTCCTACACGCTGCATATCCCCTACTCTGGGGTTGCAGTGGGGCCCCCAGCCCCACTATTTACCTCATTGATCTCCCCGTCATCAGGAGACTCGTTATAATCGTTCATCTCATCCATATCCTGCATGTCCTCGTCATCTTCAGAGTCCTCTTCGCTGTCTTCATCATCTTCATCATCCTCCTCCTCCTCCTCGTCGTAGTGCTGTAGACACGACAGCTCCAGGGCCCCGCCAGCCCCCCGGCACCCCCCCAGTTCCCTGCCCACACACCCACCTCGGACGCTGGCTTTCCTATGGGCACCAGGTTGTTGTCCTTCTCGGCAATGCTCTGGAGCTGGGGAGGGCAGAGAGGCGGGTGAGCACCCCGGCAGCTCTGGGACACCCCGCGCACTCCCCGCTCGGCTGCCGGCTCACGCTGCTCCCTGACCACGGCTATTCCCAGCTGGCAGCTGCCTGAGGAGCCCTGTTCCCCCGTTGGGATCCCCCTGCCTGTGCCCGAGGAG